TGAGTGAGGCTGTTCAGCTCAGGAGACGGGCACTGTGCTGTGCTGACTGGTGTTGCACAGAATTGTGACTGCAGAACGTTTTGCCATCTGGTCAGATGTGTTAAGGTGAGATGGAAAGAAATAACAGAAAACTGTTCCGCTTTTAAAATAATAAATCAGGTATTTGGGTACTGGGCTTCTCTCTTATTGTATTTAGTAAATGCGTATTGGAGTTTGTATCGAATCTCTCCTGGATGACAGAACTTTAATAATATTAATCTAAAAATCTTACAGGAATAACTAAATCCAGAAATTAACTGAAGGAGAGCCTATGGCTAGCTTCAACATGCAAAAATGAAAATATCTATTTTTCCAGGATCAAGTCCTCCTAGAATCATTTAATTTGGAAAAGACCTTTAAGGTGAATGAGTCCAACCATTAACCCAACACTGCCAAACCCACACTAAACCATGTCTCCAGGTACCACATCTACATGTCTTTTAAATCCCTCCGGGGATGGTGACTCCACCACTGTCCTGGACAGCCTGTTCCAGGGCTTGACACCCCCTTCATTGAAAAATTTTTTCCTAATGTCCAATTTAAACCTCCCCTGGCACAACTTGAAGCCATTTCCACTTGTCCTGTATCAAGTATTGCTTGATGCTTGTGAGAAGAGACTGATACCCCCTCACTAGTCTTCAACCTTACAATTGAAGTTTAGAGGAACATTGTATATGCTTGGATTAATAGTAGTCTAGCATAGAGCAAGCCATAAGGAAAATTAGGTCTCTCAATCAAGCCTTCAATTCCTTGAGGCAGATGTTCCTATCTGGACATATTTAGCATACAGTCAGGATAATAAGAGATTTGAGATGCTTTGGGATGATTTAGGTAACTCTGAGTCATTTTTTTCAGAAAGTTCCGTATTTTTAAATAGGCTAAAAGATTTATGTAACACTATTGCTAAATCATTCAGAAATGTTTTATGTTAGTACAAATATAGTAACACATATTTTATATGTAAAAATATATAGTACTTATGTCCTTGCATGTAATTTTGGAGAGATTTTCCACACTGAAGAGTAAAAATAGAAACTAAAATAACAGTTGGACCATTTACCTCACCTTTAGGACCGTGAAAAAAATATTTCTGCATCATTACATCAAATTGATCTCTATAAAATCTAGTGAAAACTGTTTCAGATTTACACACATAGAACATTTAAGTAAATGAACACTGCATGACAGTAGGAACATAATAGGAAATGTTCAGAGAAATTCAGGTCATTAAAGAGAAGGTAAATAAATGCAGTTTGACCTAAGTAGTCGTTTCATGAAATTGGGTAATTTCACCTTCAACCTCATCTCTCCTGTTTATTGTAAACTGAGAGACTACAATAAAACTATTAAAGTGTATGAATACCTTTAGAGATTTCTTTAGAGATTGTTTAAATACTTTTACTGTCAAGAGAGGCACGGTATTTTATTTTCTTTCAGAACCTTTTGCAAATGATCTTTGCTGCCAATTCCGCCTGCCAAAAATAATTAAAATACAGCGAAAGTGAAATGCCTTTGGTAGCACTTCTCTGCCTTTGTTGTTTTAAAGTGAGGTTTAAGACTTACACTTGTCACTTTAACATTAAATAGGGATCCTCTGAGAAATCTTCATTTGCTAATTACAGGCAGGAAGGGTCATTGATGGAGAGCCTTAAACCTTTGAAGGTAACAGCAGGATTAAATGCTCGTGTATCTGTCCATAGGGAATCCAGCATGCTCCCTGAGCAGAGACATCTCTGCCAACTAAGGAGCTGATCCAGATCACCGTCCTGTTCTGTCCCATCTCTGTCATATTTGCAGCCAATGCAATTATCCCAGCCTAAAGCTGACTGGGAAAGAGCAGAAGCAGATAACTTGTATTTTTAAGTTAGACTAACCTCTTCTCACTAGAACCTCCCAAACAGAGGACCTTTTTGCTGTAGAGGAGTGTTGAAAGAGGTGTAAAAAATGCAATATAAAATACTTTTTTGATATATTTATTATTTCCTTATCAGCACCAACTTGTTTGTTGCATACCAAGACCTTCAGAACAATAAGTACTAGTTTTCTATAAATGACCTTCTTTTCTAGTTATCATATAGAGAACAGGGATGGGGAGCAGATTTACAGAGAGAGGTGGATTTTCCATGCCAAATTACGAAAAATCTGCTCTCCCCTCAAAACCTGCAAACCATCCTCAGCTGCTACCAGCGTGGGCATAGGGAAGCACCATGAGTGAGGAGAGTCTTTGAGGTGCAGCTTCAAAGCTGTGAAGATCTAAGTAGGTTCCCTTTAAATGTCTTCCAGAGGCCCCACATGGAGTAACCTCTGAGAGAAGTGAAGGATTTGGATGGACTCAGCCATGTGTCTTTACCACATCCAATAGAAGGCAAAGGAAGGCTTTGGTTCCCAACAGAGGGATAATGCTGGGTTTGTCTGTGCAGACTCTACAGCCTGTAGGCTTGTGGGTTCTGGCTTGGTGAGGTACTGCTGGGTAATGCTTACAGGGATTTTGCAGGCTTGATCCAGTGATTTATTCTATCCTTAATTTCTTGAAGAAATGTGCATTTTTTCAAGTACAACTTTCCAGGACCCTGTATTAGGAGACATAGAACTGAAATTTCTCTTCTGGCTGTATATTTTCTACAGATCATCTCTGCCAAGAGGAGGTAATAGGCTCCAGTTGCTTCAGACAAGCTGTTTTCAGCACAGCATTCTTAGCTGTTTCCAACCTGGCAGGTGTCAGGGTTCAATCTTTTTCCCAGCCTTACATGGCACTGCTATCATATTTTCAATCAGCCTGTTTCCTCTGTGTAGGTTTTCATGGCCGGTTGGGTTGCAGGCATTATATATGTGTATGCAGTCTAGCTGTCATTGCAGGCTTGCATAAATTCTACTCAAGTAGAAAGACAGCATTTTGGGGGCAATTAGGGCTTCTCTATAGATTTATAGTCATAACCATTTGCAGAAGCATCTAACATCAGAGACAAGGCGAGATACTGCGCCCTCACATACCTGATGAGATGAGTGCATGATAAATCAGCAACTGTTCTTCAGAAGGATGAGGGATGTTGCACTTAGGAGAAGTGACACTTCATCAAGTTTGTCGTACTGCAAAAGTCCAAAAAAGAACAGAGAAAGCTGAAGAAAAAAAAAAAAAGTCAGGTGGCATTCATCCATCTAGGCTTTTTTATAATCCATATACTTGTACTCTGAGTGTTGATATATATCTGAATGGATATAGAGATAGGGAAAACCTTTCAGTAGTTCACAGCAATCAGTAAAACAAGGAAAAAACCTACTCTTACAACAAGCTTTATTTCTGGACATATATTAATCTGCTGTGTTTTCTAAAACTGAAGCCTCATGTTCATTTTTGCTATACATTGTGTGACCTTGTTTCATATGATCTTGTATTTGTGATGAACTTCAGCATCTGATTTTTACCTGGACATGTAAAAAGCACTGTGTGAAGTGGAAGTTCAATTTTTCTATTAGGCAGGTTTTAGGAAAGCACCATGTTTCTTTGAAAATGCCACTTCTCAAATAGGAGTGATGAACAACAGTAAATTACTGTGAAACAAAGTGAGTTTTCAGGAATGAGGTAGAAATGGGTTGGGTAGAGGGAAGACATTATGCACTGAGCCATAAAAGGCATTTTTTCCTTTCACACTGGGTTATTTCTTGCCACTTGTAGGCTGCAGTTGTTTTTCAGAAAATGACAATATGGAAATGCATAGCTGATAAAGTACCTCTGAGCAAAGATTATTAAAAATGACAGGCACATTTCTGTGTGTTTGATAATGTCAAGAGTAGAGGTAGTACAGCACATTGGTATTATATCAGAATATTTCTCTTTTCTGCATAATCCATAATGTCTGATTTAAGAATGTAATTTTGGGCTTGCTTGCGAGGGTAATTACATTGGGACTCAATAAGGCACCTAAAACTTGCTTGACTTTAGGAGCATCTTTCGGTCCACCATTATTCAAGACAGCACTAGTAAAGGTGTGCATTTAAGTTTTGGCTTAAGCGCTTTGCCAAATTTAGGCTTTAGAATTTAACTGCTCTCCATCAATTAGTGCTCACTGTATCACATTTGTAATAGTGTACTGAAGTTGGTGACTTTTCAGTTGGAAAGGCTTCCTTTAAACATGTGATCTTCTCAAATATGGCCTGTGATTTTTTTGGTACCGCAAAACTCAACTGACTGAGACTTGTAGAAACATTGTCTTGTTTGGAAAGGGAAGAATCAAACCAGAAGAGAAGGTGACTCTAGGAGTAGGTTTCAGGTAGTACAGCAGTGGGACTTTCTATTGTTCACTGGTCTAGTTTTTCTCTCTTTGGAATCATTAGTGACTGGCATCTGGAGTTGGCATCACACAGCCAAGTCATCTGCTGGGACTGGCTGGAATATTAGACTGTGAAACGCCACTCTGAATCTTTCTTGTGAACTTCTTGGCCTTTGACATGGGACCCATTTGTATCATTATCTCCTTGCCAGGCTTCACGGGTTCCTTTCTTCTCGATTTCATTCCATCTTTGGGACTGAGGCCATTCTCTACTCATAGCATGTGGTAGCTGAGCCAATCTGAAAGGACATCAACATGGTTCCTTGGATAGTGCTTTCAAAGTTTACTGTCAGCTAAAGCTACATTTGAAAATTAGTTTGGATTAGTATAGAGTTGAAATGCACTTTTTAAAATAACTCCATGTGTGGCCATTATCTGTATGATATGACTGTATTTGTAAATGAATGCACACTGGGTGGCTGTATGGGCTGTATGGGTAAATTCATTAAATAACTCTGTACACGTATGTGCGTGAGAATGTGTGCATAAATAGAAATTTTCAGTTGACATCTATGTATTTGCAGTAATTTGTAACCAAACGTAAAATTCTCTGACATTATCCTTGAATTATGATTAGCATTGGCTAGAGCATACATATTAATTTTCAATTACTTTTTGGTTTTTTTTTTCCAGCTCTTCTTTATGCAACTATTTTTGGAAACGTCACCACCATTTTCCAGCAAATGTATGCCAACACCAACCGATACCATGAGATGCTGAACAATGTGAGGGATTTCCTAAAATTATATCAAGTCCCCAAAGGCCTTAGTGAAAGAGTCATGGATTATATTGTCTCAACTTGGTCCATGTCTAAAGGAATTGACACAGAAAAGGTATGAGTACCTGAGGTAACAATTTAGATAGCAAGAGTTTATGTCCATTGTGTGCTTTCTTAGAAAGAGAACTGTATAACAGCATATAACTTACTAACAAATCCTTAACTGCATGCTACTACTTTATTATGTTTGTGTTTGGAACAAAAGCTGGTTGTTTTAAAAACGAACTGTTTTGAAAATATGCCTTTATTTTTCATTATGGTAAATGTTTGCTGCTTTCCAGTCTTAGTTTGTCTAAATATTTAAACAATGTCAATGTACTTAACTATTGAAATCAATGGGAAATTAGTCTTCAAATTAGTTTGAGAACATGATTTGGTGTCTAAACTACACTGGTGTTATTCTGAGAAGTGTTGGCATCTGTGCATTGCAATTAAGTGAGTTTGATTGGCTTGGACCTTTTGCTGATGCCCAGGACATCGACATATCCATCAGCATAATTAGTGTAGGTTTTAATGGCAGTAGAGATTGATCTCCTTGAGCTAGAATCTCTGGGCTAGCACTTCAGACCTTTCGTAGGGAGATACAGAAAATGTGATACTGTTGGTATCCATGCAGGGTAGAAGTCCTACAGGACTTTAGCCCTCAGAAAGGACTGGTCATTTAGGTTTCTTCAAAAGCTGATTAAAGGAGAAGGTCATCTTCTGAGAGTGATTTATCGTTTGCCAGGACAGACCACATGACTTGTTCTCAAGGCCTCTCTTTCTGCATGATATGTGCAGTCAATCTGCCTGGCCTTGAATATTTCAGAGAGCTGAAGTCAGATGGGAGGGGTTCCACCTGCAGTACCTTGAATGTAGGTAAGATAGAACAGCTTTAGGTCTAAATTTTTGGTCCGTGGAGATCAGCAATGCTCCTGTGACTTCTGTGGACCTGATACACATCAGCTTAAATTAGGCAGTCAAGCTTCAGTAACCATGATTTCCCTCCCAAGAACTAAAAAGTTTCCAAGGGAGGGTAAGGAAGCATCATGACAGATTAATATCTTGAAATATCTAGTGCTTACACAGCTTTGAAGTTCTTTCCTCAGTTGAATCTATTGGGCAATATGGGATGTGATGCAGATTGTTCAGGGAGGCCAAGATGAAGTGTCTACACTAAAAAATTTAGTCTTACATCATGCTGATGCAGCAGCAGTTCTGTTATTAATCATCTGCTGTGAAATGCAGTTTACTGTCATAAATACAACCGCTTTAAGTAACAAAGATTTTTATTTCTTTGATTCTTGTGCTTCAGTATTCCACGTTCTTTAGTATGTTAATTTCTTATACACTAATACCCTAACTTCCCAGTCCTGATTCATACAGTGTTGAGTGAGCTTTCATATTGCAAATACTGTAAATGCATTCAATCCTATTGTGTAAACGTCAAACCTCATGAAAATTCAACTTTCATTTGCATTTATCTCCTTGCACTTAAGGCAGAGTCCTGTGTTACCCCACTACAGTTTCATTAGATTTTAATGATGCTTTGCAGTTAATTAGGAGAACCTATGCTTTAATTACTGAAATTTCCTTCTATAGTTTCCGCATGTCCGGTTTTATAGATTATAAAAATGCAGTTAGAGCCCTAATTTTCGATTCATGGTAAGCAGTGTTCTCTGGTCTGTAAGATGGAGTGGCTGCTTAGCTAGATAATTAATATGCCTGTAAAATCGGTGACTTAGGAATTTAACAGTTTTTCCTTGGTGAAGACTTGCCTAAACACAGGCCTGGATCCAAACCCTATTTTAAACAGTGGAAGGATTTCAGGAACCTCTGCATCTGGACATCAGTAGTTGCAGCTAATCGAGCTTCCCAGAAAAGCCCATGTTACAGAAGAGCAGAGACAAGATAAATGTAAGGACTTGAACACTGGTTTGAACATTTTGATGTTTTGTGTCCCTTACAGTCTGCAAGTCTGCAAAAGCAACAGCACCCGTGGCCTGTAGTGCCTGCAAAGAACATCACAGGGTCTGTAAGGAGTGTAGGGATCAGGCAGTTTGCTTCCTGCTGCAGGAGAAAGCTTTAACTTTAGCAGAAGGTTGGAAAGCTGTGATGTAGCCAGTCTTCCTACATTTATCTCCACTCAGAAAGGTGTTATGATGTGCTTCACCAAAACAAATGAGGACATGTTGTAAATCCCAGCTGAAAAATCATAGAAACAGTGGTACAGTTCCAGAGATTAGTCATCTAGGGTGGATTGTTTCTCTTGCCTTAGTTCCTTCATTACACCTTCAAGCCCTGCCATAAGATCCTCTGCATTTAAATTGAATGTCTGTACCAAACCTAGAGCAGGCAAGTGGCTGTGAATACACTACAGGGACCTTCAAGGTACCCAGTGTCAGTTCAGATTTATTACTGTAGATAATTAGTGGGGCTAATGGGACTACACTGCACCTGTAGCTGAGCTGCTAAATCCAGATAGTGCTCCAACCTAGGCTGGAAGAGGGGGTTATTGTCCCAGGTTTTGAATTGTTTTTCTGCACTGCTTTGTCTGACAGCCTGGACCTGACCTCAGGGGTTTCTACCAGTCTGGTTTTCAAAGCTCCAGTAGTGACATTCTGACCAGTCTGTTGTCTGGATATATTTGGCTCACACAATTTCCCATTCTCCCTAATTTTTATGAGCTTTTCATTAAACTTCTTATTATCTTGCAAAACATGTGTGCTCATGACACATGATAATTAGTGAGGAATTTCAACTTTTCATTTTCCATCAGACAGCTCAGACAGTTTCCATCATCCAAGGGTGTTTTTCAACCTAACATACATGATTACATCCTAAATTGTTCCAAATATATGTGCATTGTCACTTTGGAATGTGTTTTGTGACATCATTTGCCACAAATTTATAACACATTTCATTCATTCAGTCAGGATGTTGAAATGGCTTTGTTTTGAAACCCAAATTCAAAGCACAAGAAGGAAGAATGAGTGTTACAGTAGGTTCCTATGGTGTTGAACCATCCTAGTATTGATGGAGTAAAAGTAAACACATGTGCATGTGTTTCTTTGATAACTAAATATATATACTTGAAATTAAAACATAGGTTAGTTGCTTGATTGGAATTACTACCGCTTCACATGTGTTTTGTTGACTCAGATCTCAAATATTTATCCTTGAATGACACATTCAGTGTGTAGTCCCAGGCAAACTCTTGGCTAAAACTGATGAGTCCTAACGTGGGAACTCAAGGCAAAGTGGAAGTCAGCATGGAGGAGGTAAAATGAAAATGTAGCCCTTGCTGCTTGTGTAGCAAGATGTCCAAAACAGAACTTTGCCTTAAAACCCCAGTCTGTTTTCTTTTATGTGGGAGAGGACTTGGTCTCCCACACTGAAGTGACGGTGCTTTAAGCTCAGAATTTTGGATTCCCCAATCACCTTGGGAATAGCTCATCTTCAAATCCTACCTTCAAACCACAGCACCTCAGCCTGTCTCTGAGTGTTCACAAACAAGGAATTAACAATGACACTAAAAGCATTAGCATATTTATTATTATAACTTAAGGGGAAGCAAGTGGCCTCTGATCCATAATCTTAAATCACTTAAGCATGAGAGCCCTCCTCTTGACAGCTGGGATGATATATGTAATACATGCACATGGACTCATGTCCTGATGTAACAGTGGCTCAAACAAGATGGAATTTATTTTTTTTTTTTTTATGTTTAATGATATAGATTTCAGCGTTATTCATCTAATAATGAGCAGGGCTAAAAACATGACAAACCTGAGAAGCCTTTAAACTCTAAACAATATCTCTCATCCGTTAGAACCTGTTTTTTGGGGGTTCTTTTTGTGAGAGTTAAAAAATGGTCTGTATATGACCATTTACAAGCAGCTAAATAAAATCTTTACAGTAGTAATTTGATATATGAAACACACTGAATTCTAATCTCTTAGGTTTTATTAAAATCTCCAGGCAGCAAATGAGAAATTTATAGATATTAGCTCTTCTGTAAGAAATAGGTCATTATCCATGAAAGCAGAACAACCATTAACTAACATGCAGGTGTTTCAAGGTCTTATCTAATGATGATGCTCTGAAATGTCAGTAAAACCCAAAGATTTTCTCTTCTTGACCTCTGTGCTGTTGTATGGCTTAGAATTTGCTCAGAAAGCAATTAAATAAATGTCTATCATGTTTTAACAGTACTTTCCTTCAGAAAAGCCATAGGTTGAAAGAGAAAAAAGGCATGTTATTTAGTTTCAACCTGCACATCAATGGCAATTGGGATAATGAGAGCCAATTTCACATTGCACTGACTGAAATGGAAATCATGAGAAAATTACACAGTATTAAAACTATTCACTGCTGGCCCCCTAAGCTTCCATACAGGAGAGATGGGTTTATGGTAAATAGACACAGGTTGTACCTTCATTAAAAGTTAATTTACACAAGGACAATGCAGTTTATTCATGTTTGCTGTTAATAAGATCTTCAAGAGCCGTAGAAATAATTAGTGATACCCTGAGACACGTAGAGGAATCAGGCTGCCATAGAGGAATCAGGCTGCCATTCCTACCATGTCCCATCACACAGAGGTGTCTGTAAGTGCTGGCTGGATTTCCTCATGGAAGACCAGGGTAGAAGGCTTCCAAGACTCATGGCCAAAGAGAACTCCTACAAAATTAGCTGTAGCAGCTGCATACAATTCCCTGCTGCAAAGGGAAGGTAAAAATCGTTTGGACAAGTGTTTTTGTTTCGTTGTAGAGGCGAGGTTGTTGGTCGTTCCTTGCAGATCGGGACGAGGTGAACAAGAAGTCGTCCCTCACCTCACAGAGCTGAGCTAGGACCAGGTACAGTGTGAATCCATGGTTCTTTGGAGAGCGGGATGCAGGAGAGATGGTCAAGGTCTCCCTCTCCTTCCCACAGGTTCGTGAGCGGGGCCTGTGCACCGGTGGGGCTTTCTGTTTCCCCTTCGTGGATAGCATGGATTATTTACCTCCTGTATGCACTCTGCAGAGCCAGGAAAGACTATCCACAATTGTCTCTTGACTCTTGGATGTGTATCTT